CTGAAGGTTGAAGTCTGTACACTACTGAAGGTTGAAGTCTTTACACTATTGAAGGTTGAAGTCTTTACACTATTGAAGGTTATGTCTGTACACTATTGAAGGTTATGTCTGTACACTATTGAAGGTTATGTCTGTACACTATTGAAGGTTGAAGTCTGCACACTATTGAAGGTTGAAGTCTTTACACTATTGAAGGTTGAAGTCTGTACACTATTGAAGTTTGAAGTATGTACACTATTGAATGTTGAAGTCTTTACACTATTGAAGGTTGAAGTCTGTTCACTATTGAAGGTTGTGCAAGTTATAGTTTCTCATTTTTAGGCTAATAAACAAAAACGATCACGTTAAAACTAATAAATACTGAGATTTGAGGATCGGTTCAGTGGAAAGTTTGTGTCACTTTATACAAGGTTTATGATCCCCACAGATGGATGAATTTCACAGCTCTTCTTATTCGACTATTTAATCTAGACACCATTTAAATAGTTGTTTTTAAAACGACATTAGATTTGAAGGATGATTAACATATCTGTATTACATGGGCCACTTAACTCGGAACAACAATTAAGAAACTTTTTAAAACATTAATATTAGGTCGTCAAGAAATTAATGTCGCGTTTTGGAACACTTTTATTAACCATCCCTCAAAAAAGGTACATCACGTATAATAGTTAAACGAACCGCCTAAACGTCACGTTAGTGCAGCCTATATAATGTGTAAAGTTTAGTATACTCTAATCCCTTAAAGTGATGGTACACAACGAGACACCCATTTGTCATGTAATGCTGTTTGAATACAAGAAAAGAAACAATGCCTCTGTAGCCACAAATAATATCAAAGAAGCTTATGGAAATGTTTTGAGCGTTCGTAAGTGTCAACGATAGTTCAGCAAATTTCGTTCAGGTGACTTTTAGCCTTAAAAGCTGTGATGGCAGGGGCCAACATGTTGGAATTGATATTGATGCTCTGAAGACTCTTGTTGAGTCTAACCCAAGGCAACACACACTCATTAAATGGCCCTGAAATTGCACATCTCTCATTCCTTTGATGCCCCACCATATACAAACCATCACTTTCTGCGGATGGAGTCCAGGTTTGGGGGTTGGAAGTGGTTTTTGTCTAGGACTGAGCCATTGTTTTTGGCGTTTAATATTCGTATAGATAATCCATTTTTCATCACCGGTGACAATTCTGTCCAAAAATGGTTCATGCGTCCGAAGAGATGAAGCAACGTTCGCACGTTGGAAACGATGATCATCGGTGAGTTTGTGAGGCACCTAAACACCTTCTTTATGGAGTTTTCCTATATTCCTTAGATGTTTATGTATTGCTTCGTATTTCATTTCGAACTCCTCAATCCACAGTGAACTGTCAATGCAGAGATCTATAGTCAGCAACTGGAACGTTTAAATCAAGATCTTCACTCGTCAATCGGAAGGTGTTCTTCTTCTCCACGACAATACATGTCCACATGTGGCACGTTTGACGCAACACATGATTATGGAATTGGGTTGGAAAGTTCTCCCCCACCCACCATATTCTCCAGATATGGCACCATCAGATTACCATCTTTTTCGTTCGCTGCAACACCATCTTAATGGGAAAACGTATGCAAATGTGGATGGTGTTAAAGAGGACATCGATATGTTTCTTGCTTCAAAACCAAGTGATTTCTTTAATCAGGGCGTTAACAATCTCATTGTAAGATGGAAAATCATCATCGATAAGAATGGAAAATATTTCATTTAATAAATGTTTTGTTTTAATATACAAGTTTTTCGGGTTTTATCATCTAAAACAAAGTGACATTAATTTCTTGACGACCTAATAAGAAACCCCTATAACCCGAGGGCTTTAGAAAAGTAGACTTTTTTTTTCACCAAGGCCAAAGCGATCTGGGGAAATTTTTAACTATTCTTTGTATCAGGACATATAACCCGGAACAAAAATAGTCTACTGTTCTTAAAACAGCAGATATAGGGATGACTCCAACAGCTTTATATACGAGGACACTTAAGTTACAAAACATTTGAATAATTGTTTTGGGAATGCTTGTATATCTGGAACGGATTTGGTAAATCTATATAATGGAACACTACCCGACTTTAGAAACTAGACATAATGTAATGAAAGTTCGAGAAAGTGTATGAACTTACAGGCAGTTAATAGCTAGTTAGAGTTTATATCAATCTGTAATAGCAACACACTGTTTCTTCAGGTTTTGTATATAAAATCACAACTGACTTGATGGTGTGAAACAGGAACAGAAGAGGATGGTCCCTCAATAACTTTTTAAAGGGGGCCAACATATCTTTCGGATATGAGATTGTGTTTCGAACTGAGATACAGGATGGCATGAAGCAATTAAAATATAAGCCGTTTATGCTTAAATGAAAACACGTAACAACATTTCAGGCACAGATAATACATTTACACTGTTGAACTCTTAAATAACGTGCCAACTTGTCACAGCCAGCCGCTGTTGGCACCCACAATCTTCTACTCCACTGTAAAATTAAACAAAACTTAAACCAAACATTTCCCAATTAAAACCATAACTTTCCACGTAACAACATTTCAGGCACAGATAATACATTTACACTGTTGAACTCTTAAATAACGTGCCAACTTGTCACAGCCAGCCGCTGTTGGCACCCACAATCTTTCTAGTCCACTGTAAAATAAAACAAAACTTAAACCTAACATTTCCCAATTAAAATAATAACGTTCCACGTAGTAACATTCTTTAATGACGATTTTGGCCAGGTGGTTAAGGCGCTCGACTCGCTATCTGCGGGTCGTGGGTTCGAATTCCCCATCCCACCAAACATGTTCGCCCTTTCAGCCGTGGGGGCGTTATAAAGTGAAGGTGAATCCCACTGTTCGTTGTTAAAAGAGTAGCCTAAGAGTGGGTGGCGTTGGCTAGCTACCTTCCCTCTTGTCTTTCACTGTTAATTTAGGGAGGGCTAGCGTAGATAGTCGTCGTGTAGCTTTACGCAAAATTCAAACCAAACAGTAGTGATTTAGATGAGCTGGCAAGAGTTGATTCGACTGCGCGAAATTCAAACCAAACATTAATGATTCAGATGGACTGTTAAGAGTTGATTCGTCTCAAACTGCGCTCCTCATCTGGAACTGGTATGAAGTTTGGCATCTTCTGCAAAACACTATTTCTAATGGCACATTAAACAGTATTTTATTTAAAATTGCAACAAATACAAACTGGATTATTCGGAAGTTTTAACGGTTTTAAGCGTTCTAGCAAAATTTGAATGGTAAGCGACTTTCTCCTTAAGTAACATGAAAAAAAAACAATAAACATCGATACTCTTTAATATTGAACATAAAATAATAGTCGTTCTTCTATTTGAAATATAGCCTAGCAATAATTACAATAAATACGGAGGATAAGCTATTTCTTGAATGATGTAATTACGCCACGCGTTAAGTACAAAATACACCTAGTGACAAAGTATATTAACATTAAGAGAGTTTGACCACTAACACAATATGTTCTTCTTGTAAAGTAATACTACGACATTCGGTGTTAAATTACAGCACATCCATCGTGTTCCTAAGTATGTAAGTTCTTATCGACAGAGTTGATAATAATAAAATGGCTTACTAATTATTGTTATCAATACACTTGGATTGATATATTAGAGGGAAGACAGTTAGTTGGTCAAGCACCCACAACCAATAATGGGATCGTCTTTAAAATGCACCCACAACTCTGCAGGGCGCAATATATATCTAGATTCGGAGTCCTGTACACCAACAATTAGGCCACGCTCAACCCAGACTACAAAAACGGCTCGTCAACAACAATCGCTGCCAAATCTTGGGCTACTCTCGTTCGACCGAATAGTGAGATTTCACTGTAACTTTCATATCTCCCCCAAGACGGGACGCGAGCCATGATTCCTCGAATTCACAATTCAGGCAGACTAACAGCTAGGGAACGCCCATCCTATTTATAACTGCTTATTCTAATGTATCTGTTTCGCTGTTATTTTATTATTTAACTACACTAAAATCAAAGCTGGTGAACGTGTTTATGAACCAGCCCATTACGATTCCGGTCTTGTTCTCTCACTGAACTCGCTCCACTCTCCATCCGTTGAAAATAGAATTAATTCTTATCACGAGGAAAGCTACGGGTAGAATGAGGAAAATTGTTCTCGTTTACTCTGCAATAATGACCTTGTAGAGTGCAAATATCAGAGATCGTGAAGTCCTATATTCCCGAGGGTTGTCTTCAATACTACAGTTAATATGGTGCAAGGTGTTAATATCAAAACATACGATTACTTAGTACTTACGTGGTGGAATGCGAGGTAACAAAAACGTACTTCTATTTACTATAGATGTATATATGTGTGTGTAATTAATGGAACTTTCTGCATACCACATACGATGATTATGACTGAAGACTATATCAAGTGAAGTCCATCATAATTATCTTTGAAATAAAACAACACCACTTGGTGAGTAAATTAAATTACTTTTTTTTTAACTTTTAAAGTTTACGCCAAATATTCCCAAACGAATTGTCCAACCCGAGAACTGACTTCAACCCTAAAGGAAGTGTGGGAAAACTGCCAGCGCCATGCCCTAAAAGGGTACTGGTGTATATCTTGTGTGAATGGAATGGAGAAAAATCAATAGTTAACCACCCTTGGTAACGGTCTGGTTTTAGCTATGCTGGCGACTTCGTGCCCCTTTCTCTCTTTCTTTACCTCGCCATACAGAACGAGGAGCAAGAGGAAAACTCGCGCGCGCGCTCCACTCAGACTTTGTCGTTATTGTAGTTAAAGGAGAAAGCATTCAATTGAACTGCGACAAACCCTTGTAACCTAAAGGCATATACAACAGTGAATAACAGCGCCGCTAAAAGCTCTGTTGTCAGGCGGATTATCAACTCTCTCGTGGCACTCATACAAAGACTTCGGGAGAAAAAAACAACAAACACCAGATGAAATTTGTTGACCGAATCTTGCGTGTGTATTATAAACCTTCAGTAAATAATATTGACTCAAAATATACCTAGACAACATGATGATATCCTTACCTTGAGAAAACGCATGCCTCCTGTAAGGCCGAGGGATTCCCACAGATCCACCAAAGAAGAAGCATCAGCATAACTGTAGAAACACAAACAAGTAAGTTATAAGCCAATAATTTACGATTTAATGAATCATTAGATTCATCTTACGTTTAGAATCCGATGTCTTTGAATTTACTGAGTAAAAAAAACAAAAAACTGACAATTTCTTGCAAACTAAATTTAAACTTGCAACTCTTGTTAATTTAAAAGAAATGTTTCCCGTGAACACATGTTAATAAAATGATGTTGTTTTCCAGTGCAAAGCTACACGATCAGCTATTTATGCTTTATTCACCGCGACGAATCGAACCCCAGATCTTACTATTCTAGGTCCGTGAACTTATCTCTGACCCACCGGGGTACTTAACGAAACAATTAGATTGGATTGTGACAATAGGATGAAATGACGAGCTCCAACTGTAAAAGTCCCGCACGGGAATAAAACGTCACTAAGGTTTTTATCTCGTAAAATGAAGTCCCTCATATATATATATATATATATATCTATTACTCAGGCTCAACAAGCCAGCTTCGGTTTGAAAAACTTTTCTCGGCACACTCGTATTCTTCATTTAAATATTACTGACAACATTTAGGAGCATGTTATAAAATCATACTCAGTTGTTCAATTGTTTTAGTCGATCGTGGAGTAAAATGTAACAATTATTTCTAAACTGTCTCAACAATACAAATTCTGAGGCAAAAGTAGGCTTCAGTGTCATAATTTTGACTTTGATTTTATAATGGTATATATGCATGAGGATTAACCTTGACTTGAGCGTTACAATATAAATGTAAGCTTTAGCAGCGACGTGATCTTTACCATAACGATTTAGATGTAAAGCTTATCTGTACCTTAAGCGTTACCATAACGATTTAGATGTAAGGCTTATCTGTGCCTTAAGCGTTACCATAACGATTTAGATGTAAGGCTTATCTGTGCCTTAAGCGTTACCATAACGATTTAGATATAAGGCTTATCTGTGCTTTAAGCGTTACCATAACGATTTAAATGTAAGGCTTATCTGTGCTTTAAGAGTTACCATAACGATTTAGATGTAAGGCTTATCTGTGCCTTAAGCGTTAACATAACGATTTAGATGTAAAGCTAATTAGGTGTGTTTTGAAAGTTTTGTAGCCGTCATTTGAATCGTAGAACTTTGGCTTACTCTCATGATATTTAAAATTCTGGTACATACAGTTTAAATGATTAAAAGTCAAAATACTAAGATGTATGCTTTGACTTTAACGTTATACGTCTATTTATAGCCATTTGTCAGACATTCTAGAAGTCGACTTAGGATTGATGTTTCCCAAAATTCGTACATTATTTTCGCTCTACGGTTATTCTTAAAATGTCAGTTAAAAATAATCGACTGTAATGTATAAAAATATGCATTTTTAAAGTTATTTTTCGTACTTAAATAGCGTTATATCTCGAGTATAATAGTTTGGAAGAATTTTGTGCAATCTGGTATAATTAAAACTATTTCAAAGCAGTTTCGACATGTCCACCTGCGGGCAACACCTTCTCTACAAGAAACTAACTTCCTGATACACGTGACTCCTCTCTAAACACACAAGATGTTTCTGCTATATAAACCCTCTAAACACACAAGATGACTCTGGTACATAAACCTTCTAAACATACAAGATGATTCTGCTATATAAACCCTCTAAACACACAAGATGATTCTGCTATATAAACCCTCTAAACACACAAGATGATTCTGCTATATAAACCCTGTAAACACACAAGATGATTCTGGTACATAAACCCTCTAAACACACAAGATGATTCTGGTACATAAACCCTCTAAACACACAAGATGTTTCTGGTACATAAACCCTCTAAACACACAAGATGTTTCTGCTATATAAACCCTCTAAATACACAATATGTTTCTGCTATATAAACCCTATAAACACACAATATGATTCTGCTACATAAACCCTCTAAACACAAGGTGATTCTGCTACATAAACCCTCCAAACACACAAGATGTTTCTGCTATATAAACCTTCTAAACATACAAGATGATTCTGCTAAATAAACCCTCTAAACACACAAGATGATTCTGCTAAATAAACCCTCTAAACACATAAGACGATTCTGCTATATAAACCCTCTAAACACACAATATTATTCTGTTATATAAATCCTCTAAACACACAAGATTCTGTTATATAAACCCTCTAAACACAAGATGATTCTGCTACATAAACCCTCTAAACACACAATATTATTCTGTTATATAAACCCTCTAAACACACAAGATTCTGCAATATAAACCCTCTAAACACAAGATGATTCTGCTACATAAACCCTCCAAACACACAATATTATTCTGTTATATAAACCCTCTAAACACACAAGATTCTGCAATATAAACCTTCTAAACACACATGATTCTGCCATATAAACCCTCTAAACACACAAGATGATTCTGCTACATAAACCCTCCAAACACACAATATTATTGTTATATAAACCCTCTAAACACACAAGATTCTGCAATATAAACCTTCTAACACAAGATGATTCTGCTACATAAACCCTCCAAACACACAAAATGTTTCTGCTATATAAACCCTCTAAACACACAAGATGATTCTGCAATATAAACCCTCTAAACACATGGCTTTTACTATCAACCCCCAAACTATTAAGTGAAATGACTCAACATCAAACTTCCAACCGTTTACATGAAGTGATTCTACTATCAACACTCCAAACACACGAGATGATTTTACTATTAAATCTCAAAACACGATACGATTATCAATCCTCCAAATATTTACAAGGAGTGATTCCACTACGAAACCTCCAAACGATTATACAAGATGATTCTATTATCAATCCTCCAAATATTTACATGGAGTGATTCTACTTACGAAACCTCCAAACGATTATATAAGATGATTCTCCTATCACCGAACAAATGTTTTTATGGTTTTTCTTCTACAAGTTAGACCATCTTATTATGATTCTAAGTTAAACAATTTTGTTTTCCACATCTTTAGATTTCATGGTAAGATGGCATATTTCTAAAACTCGTCTTATTTTTTCATTGAGAGAGTTTTTCGTTGATACTTCCAGTTTTTTACAAGTATACCAGTACTATTCTGTTCAACACAGTAACATTTTCCGACTTAGATCGTTTAATTAATTAATAGTAATGATTTGTTTAGATTACTATCACAAAGTCACCATTTAACAAATGGGATATTGGGGTATTCTGGACACGTATTCTATCTGAAATGTATACATATATCGTATAGGTACATCAAACGGCGGGAAATGTTGGTATGCAAGTTGAACTTATAGTAAAAGTGTTAACGAAGTCACTCACGTGCTTCAAATATCAAAGTGTGGGTGACGCAAGAAACGCTCGTTCAAATAGGTTAGTTTAGTAAGAAATGTCATAATATGCAACGTAACACACGACACTTTGTCTGGGACACAATACTTTTTGTCATTTCTGGTTAGAATAACCCTACACCCAATTGCTCTAAATGAATTCTGTACTCTTTTCGCATTCTCTGTCACATACCGTTTATCCCTCGTGTTACGAAGGAAGCCCTCGTGCACGTTTATGTACAACTACACACGAGACCCAAATTTAAAAAAAAAGAAGAAAAAAAGCACATTCTATTTAAAGAACGGGGGCTTCTGAAACATGATTAAGGTTAAAGAAACAAAGCAGGGAGAAGAAAGTGCACACTAAGAAGAACGAATCTATAACATAGTTTAAAAAAAGACTAGTAAAACGTGCCGACAGGAATCGTTACACTGCCTCTCACAATATATATATATATTAGTGTTGTATGGGGAACCCCAAGGTAACATAGCGGGGTCAGATCCAAATCCCGACACCCCTAAGTCGCTCCTTGGGGGGGTACAAGTTTTGGTAACAATTGGTCCTGTTGCTTGCCAGTTGTTAGCGGACAAAATACACGGGGAATACATAATGCTTTCCCCAAACCCTCTTCGTAAAGCCCTAAGTATACACGCCAGGTTTGGTGAAAACTGGTCTAGCGGTTCGCCACTTATAAGTGGATAAACACACACACACATTTGTCAAGTAATTTACATATATATTACATTGCTTTCCTTTCTTATATAAGCAAATATTTTCTAGTAAAAATTTATACTTGCGTGATGTTTTCCACATTGATTAAAAAAGTGAAAGACTTTGTATATGTTATTTCCTTCAAAATATGGGAATTGCTGAATTTAACAAACCCATCCAATGCTGCAACTACACTACTAGTCTGAATGAGCCCCCCGCCAGCAAGCGGAAATTATTTTAAGACGTTTTATTGTGGTTAAACAGTGGCTACAGGCTTCGTTTTCAGTTATTAGGATCCAGGTCGAAGATCGATAAATCCCAACAGGAATCTTAAAGAATCACTTAACTTTCATACTTGCTTTTTTTAAGAGTTACCCATTTATCGTACGAACAATATAGAATTCTCAAACGGCTATTTGTGGAATAATAGATTTGTTTCTGTACACCGTTTCGTTTCTAACAGTGAAACGTGATCACGTCTCAATGTCGGAGATGAAACGTTGTACAGAAATAAATTGTCTGCAAGCTATTTGTTGAAATCAGTTTTTCTAACCTACCTTACTTCTAGTACTAAATGTACTGTGGGTCCATTACAATCAAGTCAACATTTGTGATACTGACTACTTACGTCATATCCGGGAAAAAAAGGTGTGTTTATAATATTCGATAGTTTAGTTTGTTTTGAATTTCGCGGAAAGCTACACTAGCCATTCCTAATTTAGCGATGATAGACTAGAGGAAAGGCAGATAGTCAACACCACCCACAGCCTACCCTTTGGCTACTCTGTTACCAGTGAACTGACCTGATTGACCGTTAGATTATAACGCTCCCACGTCTGAAAAGGCGAGCATGTTTGGTGACGGGGATTCGACCCCGCGATCCTTAGATAGAGAGTTGAGCGCCTTTACTACCAGGCCATGACAGGGTATTTTTTAGTTATGAACCGACAATTAAATACTGACAACTTACAATCGGATTACA